AGGTGGGTGGTCCTTCAAATATGAGGTTCCACAGTCATTAAAGGCCTTGGAGAGGAATTACAACCTTGAATTGAACCCAATAAAGGACCAATGAAGTGCCTGAAGAATGGGAGCAACATGCACATTCCACTTAGTGCCCGACTGTGGCTGGGCTGTGGCATTCTGTACCAACTGGAGTTTCTGAGTTGCCTTTAAGCATAGATCCATGTAGAGTGCATTAGTCAAGCCTTGAGGTAACCATGGCATGGATATGCAGCCAAAACATATGAATTAAAGTAGAATGATTCTGATCTGTGTTTTATACCAAGAAGGAGACTTCGGACTTATGCTGTGGTGTTCCAGAGTTCAATTCACCCTCCTTGTATGGACCCTACTTCCTCTAAGGCATATTGGGAAGGAAGAGATTATAAGAACATAAGAGAAGCCAATGCTGGATCAGGCCAATGGCCCATCTAGTCCAACTCTGTCACACAGTGGCCAAAAATACCAGGTGCCATCAGGAGGTCCAGCAGTGGGACCAGGACACTAGAAGCCCTCCCACTGTTGACCCCCCCCCAGCACCAAGAATATAGTCCATCACTTGCCCCAGACTGAGAGTTCCTATCTATACCTTGTGGCTAATAGCCACTGATGGACTTCTGCTCCATATGCTTATCTAATTCCCTCTTGAAGCTGTCCATGCTTGTAGCCGCCACCACCTCCTGTGGCAGTGAATTCCACGTGTTAATCCCTCTGTGGGGGCCAACGAGTCCTTGTATTGTGAGAAAGGGAGAAAAGTACTTCTCTACTTGCTCTATCCCATGCATAATCTCAAAAACCTCAATCATATCACCCCTCAGCCATCGTTTCTCCAAGCTAAAGAGCCCCAAGTGTTTAACCTTTCTTCATAGGGAAAGTGTTCCAACCCTTTTATCATTCTAGTTGCCCTTTTCTGCACTTTTTCCAATATCCTTTTTGAGGTGTGGTGACAAGAACTGTACACAGTACTCCAAATGAGGTTGCACCATTGATTTATACAGGGGCATTATACTAGCTGATTTGTTTTCAATTCCCTTCCTAATAATCCCAAGCATAGCATTGGCCTTTTTTATTGCAGTTGCAATAGACATTTTCATTGAGTTATCTACTAGGACTCCAAGATCTCTCTCTTGGTCTGCCAGTTTGGACCCCATAAATGTGTATTTATATTTAGGATTTTTGGCTCCAATGTTTGCACTTGGCCACATTGAACCCCATTTGCCACGTTGATGCCCACTCGCCCATCCTCGACAGTTCCTTTTGGAGTGCCTCACAATCCTCCCTGGTTCTCACCACCCTGAACATGATTGCTGCCTCCTGTACAATGTCATAAACCTCCATCCATACTTCTTCAGGCACTCTGTCTATCAAATCTAGTCAAACCTATTGTTCACCTCCACTGTATATTCATCAGTGATATGCTCTGGGTCAAACCTGAATGGCCTAGTGGTTTAAGAACATAAGAACATAAGAGACGCCAATGTTGGATCAGGCCAAAGGCCCATCCAGTCCAACACTCTGTGTCACACAGTGGCCAGAAATACCAGTGCCATCAGGAGGTCCAGCAGTGGGGCCAGGACATTAGAAGCCCTCCCACTGTTGACCCCCCCCCCCAAGCACCAAGAAGACAGAGCATCACTTGCCCCAGAGCCCCTAGCTATACCTTGTGGCTAATAGCCACTGATGGACCTCTGCTCCATATGCTTATCTAATTCCCTTTTGAAGCCGTCCATGCTTGTAGCACCCACCACTTCCTGTGGCAGTGAATTCCCTGTGGTACCCCACTGCTTTACCACCCTCCACTGAGAAAATTTCCCATTTATACTCACTCTCTGATTCCTATTAATTACCCAGGTTTTGATCTACAAAGGGACTTTCCCTTTTATCCCATGACTATTGAGCTTACTTAGGAGCCTTTGATGAGGAACTTTATCAAAAGCTTTCTGGAAGTCAAGGTAAACGACATCTATTGGCTCCCCCTTGTCCACATGTTTGTTCTCTCCCTCAAAAAACACTAACAGGTTAGTGAGACAAGATCTTTCCTTACAGAACCAATGTTGAGTCTGCCTCAATAGTTTTTGTTCATCAATGTGCCTACTAATTCTTTCCTTAATAACAGTTTCCACCAACGTACCCGATATCGATGTCAGACTGACTGTCCTGTAAATTTTCCAGATCTCCTCTGGAACCCTTTTTAAAGATGGGAGTGACATTAGCTACCTTCCAGTCCTCAGGAATGGAGGCAGATTTTAATGAAAGATTACATATTTTTGTCGGGAGATCCACAAGATCACATTTCAGAACTCTCGGATGTATGCCATCCGGGCCTGGTGATTTATCAGTTTTTAAGTTATCTACCAGTCATAGGACCTCCTCTCTCGTCACCTCAATCTGACTCAGGTCTTTCAACACCCCTCCCAAAATCAGTGGTTCTGGAGTGGGCAAGCACTTCTCATCTTCCACAGTGAAGACAGAGGCAAAAAATGCATTCAGCTTCTCAGCCATTTCCCTTTCATCCTTCAGTACTCCTTTTACCCCTTGGTCATCCAAGGGCCCCACTGCCTCCCTGGCTGGTTTCCTGCTTCTAATGTATTTGACGAACGATTTATTGTTGGTCTTTATGTTTTTTGCTATATGCTCCTCATATTCCCTTTTTGCTTGCCTGATCACAGACTTCCATTTTATTTGCCACAGCCTGTGTTCCCTTTTATCTCCCAGAGGAGATCAGCTCCCTGTGGAACGTCATACAGTTCCGCAGGGCCTGCAAGACGGAGCTCTTCCACCAGGCTTTCAACTAGGAGCCGCCCACCACTACCACCAACTACTACAATCATTAACATCCGCGGTGGTGGGATGGCCCTGAACCGTGATTGAGCCACAGCGCCGTGGGAGACCGATATACCGCTTAGTTGGGATTGCAAGATTATATCTAATAGTACGCCACCTTAACCCATTGAAGAATGTCCACTGCGAGCACTTTAATTGTTTGTATGATTTTAACTTGCTTTTAAATGTTTTATGTTGACTGGGCACATGGTGTTGGTAAATGTGAGCTGCCCTGAGCCTGTCAAGGGGAGGGCGGGATATAAATATAATAAAATAAATAAATAAACCTCACTGAGACTAGCTTTCCACCGCTTAAAGGAATCCTTCTTACCTTTTACAGCTTCCACTACTTCGTTAGTTAACCATGCAGGCCTTTTCCTATACCTATTTGTGCCTTTCCTAACCTGCGATATATATTTTTTTTCTGAGCTTCTAGAATCGTAGTTTTAAATAGTCTCTAAGCTTCCCCAATGGTTTTGACCCTTTCTACTTTTCCTTTCAGTTTCCTCCTCACATGTCCCCTCATATCAGAGAAGTTACCCCTTTTATAGTTAAAATTGGTTGTGTCGGTCTTTTTGGGCAACTCCCTATTTATGTAGAGAAAGAGAAGGAAAAGAATTCTGTCGTTGCTGTAAGCCTAGGTCAAAGCCAAAACAGCTGAGCTCTGGAGAGCGCAACCACCGTGCTTCCTTGTCACGAGGTGGGGCCAAACGGAGGAGGCGGGGACTACCCATCCATGGGGGAACTGTGCTTTCAAACTGCCCCGCCTCCTCCTTCAGTGGGAGAGGCTACTTCTTTATACTCTGCTTTTCTTCCCAATGGGGACTCAAAGCCGTTTTCATCATTCTCCGCTCCTCCATTTTATCCTCACAACCACCCTGTGAGGGAGGTTAGGCTGAGTGTGTGCCCCAAGGTCACTCAGCAACGTTCCCTAGCAGAGTGGAGAATGAAACCTAGTCCACATCCTAGTCTGTCACCCTAACTGGGCCTTACCAATGAATGACAATGCCCTCCTGCCTCTACTGAACAACTGTATATGGACAAGAACAAAGTTTGAGTCCAGCAGGGACACCTTTAAGACCAACAAAGTTTAAATCTGGGTATAAGCTTTCATATGCAAGCATTGCACATTAAAGTCAGCGGTGATGCTGATTGTTACAGTGGAGTAGACTTTGAACAGAATTATTTTGCCAATTGTAAATGCAGTAGGGCTAAATTTGACAACCTCTGTAGAGTTTAGGACTTGTATCAGATTCTATAACATTAACAGGTTAATGCAGTTATAAAGAATTAATTCTTCCAGCTATATTTGGTACAGAAAATTCCTCCCTTCTTGAATGCTGTTGATTCATGCTTTGGTAACCTTGGGTCTAGATTAGCACAATTTGCTCCAAGTGGGGCTGCCCTTGAAGACTATTCGGGAACTGCAACTGGTACACAAGGATGTGGGTGTCTACTGCATTAGCCTGCTTTTGCAAACTGAAAAACATCTTTCAGGTGGGTTTTTGACAGGTAATAATTATGGACTCCATCACAATAGATTTTGCACTTTCCTGCAGTTCTTCCTTGAACCACTTGATGCTTATTTGCTCTGGCTTGGTTTCAATGGAGGATTCTCATGGGTGGAAGTATTTCTTCCTGTGGAATGTGACTCTCTCACCTCCACCCTCTCATTGCATCCCAGAATACTCCCCCTGCTTCTCCTCTCTCCAAGAAGCTACATTTGGGGGTACTTTGGACTGCAGCAGGATTTTTTAGGAATGGGGAAAGCTTTCACCTGTAGAAACAATCTGTTATATCCAATCCTGTGTCCTGCTTTTGGATGAAAGGCAACTGAGGTCCACTGCTTCCTGCCCGCATTGCTTGAAGGTGTCAATTCTAGGCATAAATGCTGAGATCAAAAACAATGGGAACTTATAAACCAGTCTATTAGAAGATTAATGATTAGACTCTGAATGAAGACATTAGTGCTGTTCACTTACCTTTAGAAAAAACCCTTTGGAGTTAGGGGTCAGGCATCAGTGCATTGCCCACAGTGCCATCTAAAAGGAAGCTGACTATATTGGTCAGCACGGCAAGTCCACACTGCAGGACAGCCGCCAAGACATCTGTTCTCCCCAGGATAACAAAACAAGAACTACACAAGCATGGAGGGAGTGGTTCATTGTATCTTTTTATTCCTCATTTTAAAATGGCTAATCATAATAAAAATAAAAGTGTGGCTCTGTGGAGAGCACAGTAAAGATATTGCCATAGAGAAAGAGTCAGTAGTGCTTGGCAACTGTTGGATTCCTGGACTGCTGTTTTGTTTTTACTTTCATGGGTAGAAAGACATTTTTGGCATATGGAAAAAATAGTGTGTGTGTGCTTTACTTTCATGGGTAAAGAGACATTTTTGGCATATGAAAAAATATTGCTTTTTGGTTTTCTGTTTTTTCCTCTTCTTTCTCTTGCCCAATTTGGAAATAACTGTGACACCACAGGAAATCAATATGGAGCCATTCATAAAAGCAATGTAAAAAAAGAAAAGAAAAAAGGAACACCACCTGGGAGAAGGTTTTACTAAATACATGAAAGGGACCCAGCCCCCAATGCCACGGCTACCGTTTCCCTGCAGAACACCCCAACCAAGCACCTTTCCATGCCCCTAGTGCACAATCAGTGCCTCGCGTGTCGATCTGCCTCGCTGGCTGTGGATGACACCTGTTCACTGAGAAGAGTTTCCTTGGCGTCCAAGGCTGCCTGGAAGTTAGAAACACAGGACTTCAAAGTCTCCCTTGGTCTTCCTGAAACTTCCAAGTCCCAGCAGGATACAGCCCAGGTATACGGGGATTCGGAAGAGGATGGACTTTGCTCTTCCCCTCCATGTCCTGGAATGGATGAGCCAGGCGCTGGGTAAACTAGTCAGGATCATGCCCAACTGGGAGAGGAAGGGTAAGCTAGAGTCACTAGGATAGCCAGGCAGATCGCAACAAGGTCAAATGTCATGTTGAGCGAGACCCTTCCTCAGCCCGACCTGTCCTGGGGTGGCTGTCTGACAGGGCTGTCCTCATGGTCTCGGCTGCCTGACCCACAAAGCAAGTGACTGATCTGATACAGTCATTCAGACTTGCATGAACTTAAATGCTTTATACATGTTTCCTCAGGCCCTGCTAACAAGCTCTGCCTGGGTCTGCCTCCCTCAATAAGGGTAGATATATAATTTCTTTTTATATTTATATTTATATATATTTATATATACACACACCCAGTAACTCAGAAGAGGGAAAAAATAGAATCCAGAACAATAATAATAAAAAAAACTAAAAATGACCCACTCCTACCGCACGAGGCGAGCGATTGCACAAGGTCCACCACTGACTGTCCCACGGGTAGTGGGGCAGGCCACCCGCTTGCACCTTCTCCCACAGAGGAGTGCTGACAGCAAGCATCTCCCCTCCCCTTCTCTCTCGGCAGTGTGTGCTACGAATTGCAGTCTCTTGGCTGGCTGAGAGGAAGAGTGCCGCCTGAGGAGCAAGGCTGAGATCCTGCTGTAGTGTTTAGGGACTCTCCCAATCCCAGATGTTTTAGTTTAAAAAGGTAATTGTCTCCACCGGTTTCCCCCGCCTCAAAAAACTGGATTTGTTAAAAAATAGTCCAAGCATGTGATAGGGTAACCGTCTGCAGAGCACGTCCCTCTTTCTTGCTCACCAGGGACCAGGGGGCACTTTGCCATCAGCCAGGGAGGAGGTGACAGTGGAGAGATTCCCCTCCTCATACAGAAATTTCATATGTTGTCCCCCCCACTCCAGAGACCTTCTTGACTCCTCCGCGGGTGGGGCTGCTGAGAGGTGGCTGGCCTGGGGTGGGCGAAGCGGAACCCAGGCTCCTGGGCTGCCCATTGGACTTGCTGTAGGAGGGTCTCATCTGCACCTCGCCTCTGGGGAAAGGAAGGACATAAGGGTGTCAGGAAGTGGCCATTCATTCCGTGGCAACGGAAAGGGAGGGTGTCACATGCTCAGACAGGGTAAGGGAAAGGAAAGCGGGGGAAACAGCTTGCACTGCCTGGGGCTGTGGAAGGGAAGAGAGCGGGGTGGGGGGGGGCTTGCCAGTATCCACAGGGGAGTGGTGCTGGGGCACTATCCACACGACACCACCCAGAGGCACCCACAGAGTCACTCTGTCTGTCTAGAGATGGGGACGGCATCCTACACATGCAGCACTACTAATAAACAATGCCACATCTAGCCAAGGAAGGGGGTCTCCTCGGGAAAACGACAGGAGGGCTCAGGCATTCCGTTCCTTCAGAAGAGTGGATGATTTCTCACAACCCCCTTTCCCAAGGGTGGGCCAAAACGTCTCATCTGCACACAGCCGACACGGGAAAGGAAAACACAAATGGAAGGAGGGTATATCAGCCGGCATCGTACACATGGACCAAGGAACACAACCAAGGAGAACAGGGAGGGGGTCTCACTGTGTTCCGCCGTGAAGGGAGGGGGAGGGAAGGGAAGGAGGGGCAGGCGAGAGCAGAGGCACGGCCTGTGGGTCACCCCCAGCCACTCCCCCTTCCGAGGCTGCCGGGAGGAAAGACGGACGGACGCTCACGGGGTCCTTGGGTCGGAGCAAAGACGGGGCCCGGCTGGACGCAGCTCGTCCTCCACCGCGTCAGGGGACACTTGAGAGTGTGGGGCCGGCGCCACTCGTACTTACTTGGGTGCCAGCAAAGGCTGCAGGGCCACCTCCTCCGTCTCCGGGACGACGGCCTCCGGGGGCGGCTGTTTTTGGCTGCTGTAAGACACGGATTTGCCCAAGTGGGGGGCTGCAGGCTGGTCCGGGGAGCCCAGTGAGCGCACCCTGAGCGCGTGGGAGGGTTCCGGCTTACCAAAGCGAGGCGGCACGGGGCGGGTGAGCGGGTTCTTGCCAAGAGGGGAACGTTTGGAATCGTCCGAGGAGGAACTGGTGCGTGGGGCGTGGCTGGAGCCTGGTGTGGACTGGATGCCCGAGTCTCCTCCGAGCCCTGTGTCTTCCTCCCTGGCCAGAGGGGGTGGTGGTGGTGTGGGGGACTGCTGCAGCAACTTCTCCCTCTCCTGCATGGAGGCCACAATGTGGCGTGAGAGATTGTCATAGCGGACTGGTGAAGGATCCCGAGGTGGCTGGTGCTTAGGTGAGCCAGAACTTGGGAAACGGCTGTGCAGGTCAGTTTCCCGCTGCTGAGCAATACGGGCTGAAAGGAAGGGAGAAGTATAACCCACGGGGGTATCTGGCTCCGGGCCTGCCTGCACTGACTCAAAGTCAGGGCTCTCGGAGGGTGTGAGAAGGCTGTCATAGGACAAACTCCCATTGCGCGTCTGGTTCACCAAGCTCTTGTAGGATGTGGATGTGGTGCCCTCGGAGCGGATTGACTGAAGGTGGCCTAATTCAAAACCTGTGCCTTGGGCAGACTTGAGGCTGGAGGAGCGGGAGCCACTGGACAGAGGATCAAAATGAAAACTCTTGCCAAAGGTGGGAGACCGAAAGCTCTCTGGCTCTAGGCTTGGCTCGGAACGGTAGCTGGGGTTTCGGCTGCTCTCAGCAATGGAGGTAGGCTCCTTCAGGCTGTCTCCTCGGCTTAGCTGCAGCGGAGAGAAACAGATTACACATCTGCAAAGTTTCCTGTGCTGTGGACAACAATTCAGACACACAGGATCACTTGCAGAGGTTATTCCCTCAAACCACACCGCAAGCATGCATCTGAGCTTACCCCAAGTAAGAACACATACGCCCCAAGTTTCTCAATGCAAAAACGACAATCATGCACGTTACACAATCTGAGCGCCAGTGTGTGGCGGTACACAGAGATCTGATTTGGGCCAGGGACAACCAAGTCCAACCCATGCTCCTCTGTGAAGCTCACTAAGTGACCTTGCCCTGCTCACTCCAGGCCTGGAAAGTTACACTGGAACGTCAACGCGCTCTATGACGTGCCTGATGCTTTATCTGCAGGAAGTTTTTAATATGGGGGAGCATTAAAAAAAGTGACTCCACCGACACCTGAAATGGCACAACCTATTTGGCCACCTCAGAATTTGCCGTGTGCCATTTCCCTGCAGTACAGACCAGGCCCCAGTCGCTGCAGGTTCATGCTTTACTTAAGGGAATGAAATGTAGCAATCCTACACGCATCCCACTGGAGGCAAAAGAAGAATCCAATGCACATAATACACATTCATAGGACAAGACCTTAAGGACCTGCAAAAAGTGGAAATGGCGAATAAGACATTTGCTCACAGGCCTAACCTAGGATCAGATTTTAGCAGACATGTTTGGAAATGCCTCAGGGATCATAAAAGCACTTTTCAAAGAACAGCGGAGACTGGAATCCTCAACGTATACTGTGATGGAATCCATATTCTATACAGCAAGCTAGAGTTCTTGATCATGGAGGCTTGAGTGCATAAACCAAGCTCATATACTAGTCCAGCGTAAATTCCGCTTCACACTCCCTGTCTGCAGTTACCCCCAAGCTTCCATTCGAAGCATTACCTTGGCGCTGGTGGAGTGAGGCATTGCAGCTGAAGTACTGCTGCTGCTATATCCAGGTCGGTACTTGTACATGGTTGGAGTCGGAGGGCTGTCCTTGCCTAGCAAGCTGCTGTCTACAGAGAACAAGAAGAACAGACACACTCAAGCCACGTGACATTTTCTCCAGGAGGTTCCAAAAACGTCTCTGGAGTACCTTACAGAAGAGTTCCACCCACGCTGCGCGACTGATCCATGAGAACCAGGCAAGAGCCTCGGGGAGGTGGACACACCATGGAGGTCAAGGACTCAGTCAGAGGGTGAGGAGGAGTGGAGTTGGAATGGAGCAAGAGGGACATTCCCCCCACAATGAGAGATCACACATGTAAGTTTCCAGCCTTATGCATGCAAGCCTGGCCAGATCTGGCATCTGGGGTCTGAGTAAGAGCACTTGTAAGTTGGAAGGATGGCAATGACCAGAGAACACTAATTCTAAAACTAAAAACGAAATAAAAAAGAAACTGTTGAGAACTCCACATATCACATTTTCTTTCAGGGAGCTGCTCCATCTGGAAACAATAAAAATAAATCACCAGGTATCACACCTGCACATAAAAGTGATACTAGCCTTGTGTGTCACATCAGCTCTGACGGCAGAACAAAGCAGAAAACTGCCTCCTCTGGTAGCCCTACATCCCCCACATCCCAGAGGGAAGCAGTACCGTCAACGTCTACCCTCAAGCCCTGACAGCTCCAGCAGTCTTCACACCTAGAAAAGAGCTAGAGTTGGGGATTTAAAATCCACATAACTTCGCTACCAACACAAAATCTCCTGCACTAAAATACTCAAGGCCTTCCTTAAAGAGAAGACAGGCAGCTTAGTTACTGAACAAACCACCTCTACTTCAGCACCATGCTAAAAGCCAAAGATCGAAGCTTATTCAGCTGCCACTGGAGCTTTGTCAACAAGCTCAGCAGAGCTCCCTGGCACAGTCGTCATAAACGGCTTCCCTCCTGGCAAAGGAGTCGTTACGTCGTCTGCCCAGTGCCCCGTTCTCTACATGCCTTGTCTGCCTGAGACGGTCTCCTTACCCTCGTTGGTGGCCAGGGTTAGATGCGTCCTCAGGCCTGTGTATCGGCTGAGGTCTGGCTTGGGTGGGGGTGGTGGCTCAGCATCAGCAGACTGGCTCTCCGTCACTTCGAGGCTTCCTTTGGACTGCAGAGACAAAGTGCAGAGGAGCAATCAGAGGGATGAGGCAGGACCCTAAGCACTGAGCATGGCCACCAGCGGGACAAAGAAGCAAGCAAGACCAGGGCTCGCAGCCACCTAGCCTTTCTGGTAGTGGCACTGTAGGCTGTGCATGCCTCCGCTGCGGGGTGAAGAGAGGAAGGGCAAAAGGCAGAATCATCTAAGACACGAAAGGAAGCCACTCCTCTACAGCAACAGCCACATGAGGAGGAGGGGAATACAAAGAGTGATAACATGGAGGAAAGATGTTGAAGAAACTCACTTCATTCCCACTCACAAGCACAGCAGATCTCACCGCTTGGGCAGCATCTTCATGTCCTCCTTACCTTTGCTCTCTTCAGGTCAGCCTGGATCCCGTTGTCCATGATCTTCACAGCAATCTGCCCATCGGATATTTCTGGCCGCAGGAAGGGTGGCCTCACCAACACAGTCTGCTCCGGTTTTGGCCGCCCAAGGTACCTGGGGAAGCATGGGAGGAGCAGACGTCACACACGCCTAGACAGGGATGTGGCCGTGTCCCCCCTGCAAGCATCTTGTGGCCTTAATGGATGTTTGTACTTGACCCAGCAGTACAGGGGGGAAATGTCTTGGACATAGGGGCTTTCCTGAATCAAAGAACTGCACTAGAGTAAAAAGCCCTCCTTCCAGTCCAACGTGTGTTATTCACCAGCGTCCCACTTGACAGGAAGGGATCCAACAGGCACCTGTGATTTCATGGTGGTAAATGCTGTCGTGCCCCACCTTGCTGTACAGAGAAACTACTCTGAGCATCCTCTCTCCTCCTGCTTCTTCTCTTGTTATGTTAAAATATTGTATTTATACCCCTTGATTTCTTCAGATATGAAGTGAAGAAACTAGCTGTGTTTCAAGAATGTAAGTGAAAAGAGACAACGCACACTTGGAAACCATAGAAAAAGCAGGAATTACTGAAAAACGAGTAATTCTGAAGAGCGGCACCCACCAAAAGCAGAAGCACCTACAAAAAGCAAGTGCCAAGTCATGGAATTATGAATGTCATCTGCCCTCTCTCATACGCATTCACACAGCTTTTTCATGCCACTAATCTGTTCACATTTACAGGCAGCACAGTGAAGGAAAGGATCACACAGGGCCGTGGTGATGTTGAGCACAAATGTTAATGTCACTAAATTCTGATATGTAGGAGGACAGACAGGCCAGCAAACAGAAAAGAAACCTAAAATGCTCAAGTGGCAAATGCACATTAAGTATATATTCATTTGTACAGAAAAATCCTAGTATAAAGAATATTTACCATCTTCACTCTAAAACAAGACCGTTTTTTACTTTGGGGGGCTTCTGGCATCTTCAATTCGCATACACATTGACCAATAGGTAACAGCGAGTGTGCTGCCCCAATCAGCGTTATCTGTAGTTTAGTAAAACTGTGCTGTATCTTTAAAGACTTGTTGCTCCTGGGAATTGTAGTTTGCAGTTAGGGGTCTCAGAAGCTTCCCTCTGACTGGCTCATTAAGAGCAATTTCCTGACTTTATGGATCTTTTCCATTTCTTTGTTCATCAACCCTTACGGCAAGGAGAGGGGAAGCCCATCTCTTTCTCACGCGGCTATTGAATTAACCTAGATCACAAGATGTAACTTCCCACCCAGCTATTGTGAGTAAATGATCTTTTGAATGCGTGTGAAGTTGAATAAAGATGATTTAAGCTTTCTTCAGTGGTCGCCTAGAAAGCGCTGGCTAGTCACAGCTGGCGCTGGACGGGATAGTGAGAGCCAGCATGGGGTAGTGGCTGAAGTGTCGGACCAGGACCCAGGAAATTCAGGTTCAGATCTCCACTCTGCCATGGAAGCTTGCTGGGTGACCTTGAGCCAGTCACACGCTCAGCCTAACCTGCCTCACAAAGTTGTTGTGAGGATACAACAAAGGAGAGGAGAACGATGTAAGCTGCTTCGGGTCCCCATTGGGGAAAAAGGCGGGATACATATAAACATTGTCCCCGTCCTGTTGCTGGAGGGTGCTGCTGGGACAGGGGAGCTGCCATTCCCCATGGCTTGCAGACAGCAGCAAGAGGAGACACCTTCCATTAGGTGGGTCCTGCAGGCTGTAAGCACTGTTGGGTGCACTCCCTCCCTCTGCGCTTTGTGGCCAGCCTCCCCATCAGCTGGAGAAGAGGCTACAAACAGCCCACGGGCAGAGAGGTCTTCCCTGCACGGAAAACAAACGCGCCGCACCATGCCGTTGCCCAGACGTGACATGCTGGCGTCACATCTGGGTGACAGCATGGTGCAGCGGGGATGTGTTCCACCGAGGGATGTTCCGGTCAGGAACCATGTGTCCCCCGCCGAATCGAAGGTAGGTACTTGGTAACCCTAGCTGCAGTCCCTGTGTTTGGCTTCCTTGCTGTATAGCTAGATAAGAAGAGATGAGCAAATGGACTACTAATCACCCCAACCAGTTGGTTCCAGGAGACATCCAGATAGAAGAAAAGTATTGGGGAAGAGAAGGTGTAAACCACCACCATAAAATTAAGTAAATTAGTTGCCGGTGTATTATATTAGTTATATGGAAGCGATATCTAATCAAAGATACAATTATATCCAATTCTTTACATTAACTTTGATTAGTGAAAGAGAATGTCAACTCTCAAGGTACGCACTCTTTCAAAACTTGCTCAGGACTTCTTCCTGCACCTGATGACTATCACACACCATGCTTGTGGATAGCACTTTTAATACTTGCATTTCTATGCTACAATGCCATGTTGTTGACAGAGATACACTCCATTAGAGTAAACACTTCTGAAAGCATGAAGTCTTCACTGGCACTCCATGTGCAGAATGGAAAAGGGAGGGAGCTTGACAATAAACTAGGTTCATGCTCAACACAAACTCTGGATTGTTATTGTGATATCTGAATTAGGGATGGGCACAAACTGGCTGACAAACTAAAGCTCATCATGAATTTTGCCTGTTTGGGGCTCACAAACCAAAGTTCATGAACTGAAGAACCAGGACGAACTACCACAAATTTTGACGCTATTCATGGTGGCTCATGACAGTTCATAAAGTCACGAGAAAGAGCTGAGCAGCTGGGAGCTGCCCGCTGCTCAGCTGTTTGGTCATGGAGCCATTTGAACACCTGCTTTCTGTTCCTTCCACTTTTGCAGGAAGCAGAAAGCAGAATTTTAAACTTTAAATGGATCACGAACCTATACAAACGGTTATGTTCGGGAACTAGCATATCAATGCAATCATGGTTCAGCCACAAGCCACGAACTGAACTGCAGAAATGCAGTTCGTGCCCATCCCTAGTCTGAATGAGCCATTTAAAAATTCTGCACTTTAATAATCCAGCAACTAGTAAATTACAGTGAACCACAGTATCAGCAAGAGTACAGATGTATGTATGCACAAATACACTTGCTTAGAGATGTAAAATTTCCAGGAATTTTGAAGTTCGGAAAAAACCCCGTTTTCCCCCCAGGTTTTTTTGGAAAAAAATGGAAATTTTTGGAAAAATTGAAAAAAATGCTACATTAGCATTTCTTTTGTCTTTTCTAGATTGAAAGTCATTCTGTTACTTTAGGAACATAAAATATTACTATGGACATTTTTACTTGGCATGAAATTATCACAACTAGCCTATTAAAAATAGAATGTATCCAAACAATTATTACGAACAGAATACCCAACCACATGCAAAACCAAAACTGAATCTTTTTTATTTTCTTCTGACAATCGCACCTCCTAAAGGAAGAAAAGCATCTTGTTCTTGCATTGTCGAGTTCAGTTTATAACCTAGGACTTCCTTGTCCTCAGTGCACAGAAATTAGATCAATCTGATACCATATATATGTATTTTAGAAATGATTTGGAAAATATTTGAACACCTTGTCTTAAAATATTTTATTCATCATGTTAAAATAAAACATTCCATAATCAATTTTTTTTCTTTTCTTTTTTCAATTTTTCCAATTTTTCGGGAAAAAACAAAACAGGCTTCAGGAAAAAAATGGGGAAAAAACCAACAACCCCCCCCCCCCCGAATTTTTCCGGTTTTTTTCTGGGCCTTCACATCTCTACACTTGCTCTCTCTGGAAAGTATGACTTGGATGGAAGACACTTCTGCCAGTGGAGCAAGGTGGGGGAGAGAGCATCTGCCAATTCTCCACCACCAAAGATTGTTCCGGGGTCTACTGACCGGGGTGTGTGGGGGATTGCAGGCTGTAGCATGAGGGGGAAACCTGGAAAAGGTCCTACAAGCACTGCTTTGTTTATTTATTTATTTAATTTATTTAACCTTCGATTTATATACCGCCCTAAACCCCCCAATGGAGGTCTCTGGGCGGTTTACAACTTTGTAGTGCTAATCACTTTTATGGATCCCTAACTATGGGCACATTCTCAGGGGTTGGGTCAGCCTACCTAGCACCCCGCTGGTGGCGGCTCTTCCTTCTGGTCTCCGGCTTTGGCTTCCTTGGCTCCTTCGGTCGGCAGGACGTTCCTCTCTCCGGCGCAGTTCTTCTCCAGCGAGGCAGCCGTCTCGGTGTGTGTGTTCGTCTCTCACGGCCTTGGCTCTGTCCGATAGGCTGCGCCGCGCCGGGAGATGATGTCATCCGCACCTTCTGCTGCTCACGCCGGCCGCTTTCTGTTGGAACTCCGCAGGCCACCAGGGATCGCTCCACTGGCTCTCGATGTTCCGCCGCGCCGCCTCGTCTCTGCCGCCAGGATCCACCGTCACCGCCGCCGTCATTGTTGTTGTTCCTTCGCTGCTGCCGCCGCCGCACACCACACTCCACGGACGAGGGGGGTGCCCCTACCCTACTAAGGGTAGGTTCCCATTCATCTACTCGCCCTTTAACGGGCTTTTGAACCGCTGGGTGGGCGGGAGCTGGGACGCAGGCCGGGAGCTCACTCTGGCCACGGTGGGGCTCGAACAGATGTTCGGCCAGATGTTAAGGCAGGCTGCATTAGCAGCCTGCGCCACCGCTCCCTTCACATAGTATAGATACACATCAATGTAATTCAAATTACTGGCTTCATTGAGGCAGGCTGAGAAATGCCAAACCTTGTCAAATACCCCTTAACCATAAGAGCAGCACTACGAAAATATGGTGTATCAACACTAAGAACAATTCTCTCTTACAAACTAAATCATCTTCTTCAGTTGAAGCAGAGACAAATGCTATAAATTGGTGATGCATACACAGTGATAATATTAAAGTTGTAAGAATCTGAAGAGAAGAGGAGATTGGATTTATACCCCGCCTGTCACTCGGAGTCTCAGAGCAGCTTACAAACTCCTTTCCCTTCCCCTACCCACAACAGACACCCTGTAAGGTAGGTGGGGCTGAGAGAGCTCTGACAGAAACGGCTCTTTTCAAGAACAGCTGTACCAGAACTATGGCTTGCCCAGGGGCATCCAGCAGCCACGAGTGGAGGAGTGGGGAATCAAACCTGGCTCTCCCAGATTAGAGTCCGCGCACTTAACCACCACACCAAACCACTATTACTGTCTGAAGCAGCCTCCAGACTAGAGGAGACGTTTCAGGAAGAAGCCAACTATTATATTTTAATCAGCCGAAGAACCATCTCAGACAAAAGGTAGGTTATAGGCCTGGTATGACAAAACAAAGTCCAGTCATGTTTGCTTCTTTGGACAAGCTTCCATTGCAATCTTCTGTGACTGCACAATGGAAAAGAAATGGGTTGAATATCAGGTTCATTTGTTCTCTCATATACTGGAAAGACAAGACGACCAACACTTGTCTATAGCAACACAGTTCACACCAAATTGCCAAGCAGAGCAGTAGGATAAAAGCCATTATCTTTTTGTTAAAATGTAAATTTAAAAGGCTGTTCATGTTTTTTATGTCAGAACTTGAAAAGAAAGATTAAAATATTGCAGAATACTGTTAGATGCAGAATTCTGTTCTCCCTAATTAAACACAGGTGGAAGGAGCACAAAAGCATTGGTTGTAATGGGAAAGAGAAATCACTGAAACCATCACACACTTAAGGTGTGATTAAGAGGCCTTGTCCTTCACCTCAAGCAAGAGTACTGTGTTCAACACAAAAGATCTTCTCTAATAAGCAGGATGCTGGGAGGGCTAACACTAACCACTATTGCTTCTGCTAAACATTTACTCTGAGTGATGCAAATGGAATGACTAGTCATCTGCCAAAGTGGACTCCACCCATTAGCATTTAAAGGAACTCAGAGGTATCATGAAGAAGCTATGGGCCTTAAGACAGACAACTTTCATATTCATTAATCAAACACTACTCCTGCATCTCTAGACATGCATCATACAAAGGGGAGGAATAATCTGCAGCTGTGGTGCCAGGCTTCAAGTTCCCTTAGGCCTGACCTTGCTACAAGCAATCAATTGAGAACGTAAAAAGAGTTATGCTGGATCAGACCAGTAGTCCATCTAGTCCAGCATCCTGTCTCCCACACTGGGCCACTGTTTACTCTTGAGGACCCACAGGGCATGGAGGCCAATGTCTTCCCCTGATGTTCCCTCTTGGCACTGGAATTCAGAGGCTTAGTGCCTCTGAACGTGGAGGTTCCCTTTAGTCACCATGGCTAACAGCTACAGATAGGCCTGTCCTCCTTGAAGCTGTTTATCCCCATGGTCATCAGTACTTCCTCGGTTCCTTGTTCTCCATGCCTGAGAGAATGAAGATTCCCAGTCACTTCCCATAAGAAGAAGAAGAGAAGAAGAGAGAGTGAACTTATACCTTGCCCTTCACTTGGAGTCTCAGAGAGGCTGACAAACTCCTTTCCCTTCCCCTCCCCACAACAGACACCCTGTGAGGTGGGTGGGGCTGAGAGAACTCTGACACAAACTGCTCTTTTTCAAGGACAGCTCTTGTCAGAGCTTGTGACTGACCCAAGGTCACATCAGCAGGTGCCAGTGGAGGAGTGGGGAATCAAACCCGGTTCTCCCAGATTAGAGTCCGCACACTTAACCACTACACCAAACTGGCTCTCCACATAATTAGAAAAGACACCTTTAGTCATTTCTCTGCTAGTCTGACATATTTATTGCTTTATAGCTGTTGACCTCATTACCTTAACTTGCTATTTAGTGTCACTTTGCATATCTTGATCATCATGTTGCATGTTAATTTGCTGTTCATTTCCTGGCTATAAGTTTGAACCTGACCTTCCATTCCAGTGTATCTGAGGAAGCGTGCCTTTTGCACACGAAAGCTCCTACCTTGACTGAACCTTTGTTGGTCTTAAAGGTGCCCCCGCTGGACTCTGAATTTGTGGTCCTGCTTCAGACCAACACGGCCGACCCACCTGGGTCTCTTTCCCTACTCAGACATGCATGACTGAGCTCTGGATCTCATCCACCACCGACCCACCTTTCTACAGGCCCTCCTCCTCCTCCTCCTCCTCTAGTAATTAGGACAGTTAAGGCTTTCTCTCTCTCTCAAGGCAGGATAGTGCTGCTACAACTTTAATGTTTGGGACAAACATACCTGGGTGCTGGGGAGCTGCAAAGGACACGACTGACATTCTTACAGCAGCCGTTGGTAAATGGGTTTACTCCACCCCGGAATTTGCCTGTAACCTGCCAAGACAAAGATTTGATCAGGGGAACCGTGGTGCAGTGAAGTAAGATGGGAAACTAAGTGTGAAATACATCATACCTGTTCATTAGTAGTGCGACCCCTAGCTACCAGCACTACATGGAATCCTGTAAGGCCAGCCACAGGAATGAAGAACAGGCCAGCCACACACATCACAGCCATACTGCCAAACAGTCAAGGAAACACAGTTCAAGACCATCGTGTCGTGTTTTAGGACCCCCTTCCCCAGCACAGCCATTGTCTGGCCTTCTGTCTTAAGTGGACACACCAATTCTCATCTTTGTGGTGAAGGAACTCCTTTCACCCCAGACCAACAGTGGAGGATACGTGACAGCCATGCGGATCCCAGAGAGCTCTTCCACTTGATACAGAACATACAGTAAGCCAAATCCAAAAACACCCATAATGTGTGCTGTGAGTGAGAGCAGGAACAGGAAGAAATAGCGGTAATTGCGCCGTCCGATGCAGTTGTTCACCCAAGGGCAATGATGGTCAAACTCCTGCCAGTGAAATGGAAACACAGAAAACGGAATTAGAGGCTCCACGCCTAGGAGAACGCAGACCCACTCTGAGCTCCAGCTCATCTGGCCCTCGCTTTCATCCCACCCAGATTGGACAGAGCACACCCCCTCCCCCTTTTCAGTTGACTGAACATATGGACACAGGTTTGCCTTCTATTAAATCAGACCCTTGGTCCATCAAGGGCAGTGGTTCTCCAGGGGCTCAGGCAGAGATCTTTCCCATCGCCTGGTCCTTTCAAATGGAGATGCCGGGGACTGAGCCTGGGGCCTCCTGCATGCCAAGCAGAGGCTCTGCCACTGAGCCACGGCCCCTCCCCAAAAGGCCTCTTCTCTGAGACACTCATTCCCATACCAGAGGACAATACAACCCAGCAGCAATAAGGACGGCCAGAAGATTGATCATGATTGACCACAGAATGTCTCTCAGTCATTTTACTTCATTGCCTCTCCTCGTTTTTCTGCATGTGAATTGTGATGTGTGCAAAACTTCAGAAGGCCACCCAATTTCTCTCCCTTGTGTTTCTGCCTGGGTTTTCCTGTCCCTACGAACAGCACCGCTCATGAATCTGGCTGGCACTGTGGGATGGTGGTGTGAACTGCTCCGTAGTGCTGACAGTGCAAGGGGCGAGACACAGCATTCTAAGCTGTGGCCATTTAGATGGGTGGTGGGCTTTTGTGACAACCAGGTTTGTGTATGTGTGTGGCTGTGCAAGATACTGTGTGGTGCTTATAGCGACAAAGGCAAGAGCACAGCAATATTGTTTTACCTGGCACTTGGTGCCCCTGTTAGCCGCCCTGAGCCTTCGGGATAGGGCGGGATATAAATGTAAATATAAATAAATCCACCAGCCTCAGAAGCCCAAGCTCCTTACCATGAGGATAGATGAGAGAGATCTGTGCGCAGGTGCAGATGTGCTGCCCATTCCCTTGCAGCTTTGGCACTGTGCCCCCAACGTCCGTGTCTCCCAAGCTGCCATGGTCTACCTACCTACTGTCTCGTGCCACTCATGTTCTCCGCTGTGCCTGGTTCCCTCGCAGCTCTCTTCTCATTCTCACATGCATGCAAGCGACAGTATAGGGCTGACTTGTGACCTGAATCAGCTCGACTCACTTTGAGCTATTTGCTCTGCTTGTGTTTTGAGTTCTGTCATGGGTTCATCATCTGTGGAAAGGCTCATCTGCTGGAGCTATCTGACCTGCATTCACTTATAAATGCTTGCTTGTGACATAGCTGTAATCTGGATTGGTGATACTGCGTGATACTACGGATGGATGGTAATGCCAGCTGGCAAGGGACTGGTGCGCACAGGCAGCACCGGCACACTGAACAAATGCTGGATTTCCTATGGGCTGCTCCTCCTCCTGACCTATCACTATGAAAGGGTCCATGACTATGAACCATTTGACTAGTGCGTCGACAGATCCTACTTTGTTTTAAAAAAACTGGAAGCATTCAAAGAGAGATCCTGAACTGCCTTGAGCAGAACACAGAGAATACCCAGAATCCTTCAGTGCCTGCAGGTTCACCAATTCAGGTCACTTCAGACCGTCTTTTCCGGGTTTCTTACCTCCACACAGTTGTCACAGACGCTGCAATGGGAGCAGCGTGGAGGCCGATAGAAGCGGCACGTCGCACACCATTTCATGCGCACCTGGATCCCCTTTATCTCCACTGTCTTGTAGAGTGGAGCGCGGAAGTCATCCTCCTTATCTTCATCCTCATCGGCTGAAATAAAACACTCAGATCTAGTGCCACAAAGCAAGCTCAGCAGGCCACAATGGTGACTCTCTTCTAGATAATTACTGCTGTTATTAGCGATAATTTTCTAAGGTTGATTTTTTTTAAAAAAATGAAATTCTGGGAGCATTGGGATATTTACTGTAAATTCCCTCAGGTTTTTTTGGGGAAAGGTGGAACATACATTTTAGAGAAATAACTTATTGCAATGGCTTCCAATACTCCATCAACTAAATCAGCAGCAGCCGGGATTCTCAGACCTCATTTAGATGGCCCTTCATTTTCCACTATTATGGGAGACCTTTTGCCACCATCAGCCAAGGCTTTGATTTCTCAGTAGATGAATGGAGGCAAAGGACTCAGACCAAAACCTTAATATCCCCAATATCGGTTCAGGCCGATCTATGGATTCTGTGGTGGCGAAGGATATAACTTCACACCGCAATGCCTTACGGCTGGGAAATTACTCATCAGAGGTATCAAAAGTGTCTTGCCCTGAATGTGAAGTTTTAAATAGCAGTGAACAAGATTTGAAACAGCAGTGCTATGCAAGATGCTTGCTAGGCAGGAACACAGTTCTCACCTCGAGGGAAAATGCCTGGATCCATGAAGGTGGCCATGCTGAAGTTCGCCAGCACAAAGAGGAAGACCACAGCATTGTAAATGGGGATGAGTGGAGAGAGATGCAAGCTGAGCCCTGGGCACCTGCCCAAAGAGAAGCGGGGGGGGGGGGGGGGGGGGTTGAGTTAAGGAAGCCCTTGGCAGTCTTTTTACACATGCTGATTTATTTATTTTTTTGGCTTCGACTTCCGATCTTTTCACCTATCTAAAGCTGCAGAAGAAAATGAATAATCCCCCTACTCCCCTCCCCTGGACACAGCAGAATGAAGTTATTCTCTTCCTTGTCCTTACTGCTACTATTTTAAGTCCTGCAGAACAGAACAGAGTCCTCACTGTATTACAGGGTCACAAAGTACAAGCTGGGAAGGGGTGAGGCCTCGTTGAACCGGTCCCTGGATAGGCAGAGATGTCTTCCATAACTGCTCTGCCAGCAATAAAAGAATCACACCTCTGCCTTGCATGCTATTTAGTTTGTTTCAACAGACACTCTGAAACATAACACAAGTACGCTATTTGGACAAGGTGTTCAAGTTCTTTTAAAAAATTGCAATCTATAGGGCATAGAGAGCCACCCAGGTTCTTTCAGAAAGTACTGCACATAACAGGCTCTGGGTCACAGTATTCAGGACCTGCATTAGCGATCAAGCTTTTCTTACATTAAAAGAATCAGTCCCTTTGCTGAAACACTACCAAGTGTAGCAAAGGCAAACAGACTTTGACCTCACTTTCAATCACACACAATTTCCTTCATGGGATCTCAGAATTTACCCTTGTTCTATTAATCACATACTTTTGCAAAAAGCAGTCCATGGTCAGGGAACTACTCACACTAGATATAGACTACAGAGAGCAGACATTATTTGAGGTACTGTCTGTGTGCCACTCCTGTCATAGAATCATAAAGCTGGAAGGGACCAGGGACCTCCAGAGTGACCTAGGCCAAACCCCCGCACAAGGCAGGAAATTCACAAATCCCTCCCCCCCCCCCCGGTTACCCCTGCTCCATGCGCAGAAGATGGCCAAAAAACCTCCAGGATCTCCAGCCAAACCAGCCTGAAGAAAATTGGTTCCTGACCCCGAAGTGGTGATCGGCATTTCCCTGGATGTGTACAAAAGGGCCACGCGAACTAAGCACTGAGGCAACCCGTCCTGCCCTCCCACTCATGATCTGCCTAAGTTCATACAATCAGCATTGCTGTCAGGTGGCCATCTGGCCTCTGTTTTGAAAACCTCCAAAGAGAGCCTACCACCTCTCAAGGTGGTGAGTTGATTTAATTCCAACTCACTGGTTCTGGTCCAACCTCCTGGGGCAACAGAAAACAACTCCGCACCATCCTCTAGGTGACAGCCCTTCAAGTACTTGAAGATGGTTATCATATCACTTCTCAATCGTCTCCTCTCCAGGCTAAACATATCCAGCTCCTTCAACCTTTACTCATAGGACGGTCTCCAGACCTCTCACCATCTTTGTTGCCCTCCTCTGGACATGTTCCAGCCTGCCTATATCCTTTGTGCTTAAATTGTGGTGCTCAAAACTGAACACAGGGTCATTAGTCAGGTCACAACACACAGGGCTTCATAAGAAGATAAGTGTTTATTGATGGATCCAGTACTAATGACCACATATACAGCTTGTGTCGGGAATGGCCTTCAGTATAAGGGCCTCTGACTTATAGTGAAATCAAACATCCCCCCCAATAAGCAGAAGCCAATAGTTATTATTCACGCGTGCAGCCAAGCAAGCAATCATAGCAAAAATCCTTTGCGTTCCCAGCTGAGTAAGTGCAGCTGGAGACTACAAGGTCAAGCCTGAGATAGCGCACAGTAGCTGGACAGGGTAGAGCTGAGAACGAGGAGGAGGGCACCCCCCCCCACACACGTTCCAGTTCCATGACAAGGCTACCTGACAACCTGCCCCTCCCAATGACTCCTCCCAGGTTTCTCCGGAAAGCGTTTGAGAAGGCAGGGGCAGAAACATGTTCCTCCGCTACCCATTCTCTGTGTTCTGGCCCAAAGTCCTTCCAGTCAATCAAATAAAACAGTTTATTTCGCTTCATCTTAGAGTCCAAGATATCAGCAACTTCATGATGCAGTTCGCCTTGCACGAGCAGGGGAGGGGGGTAGGGTTGTTGTGGTCGCCACACATTTGGCAGAGAAGGCTGAAATGGAAAACGCAATTTATTTATTTTTATTTATTTTGCAATTTCTATCCCGCCCTACCCAGTGGCTCAGGGCGGCTATGCAATGCAAATGTCTCAGGTTTTTAGGCAATTCAAGTTCCACAGCCACCTCATTGATCTTACGTACAACCTTAAATGGCCCCACATATTTCCACCCCAATTTCCAACTGGGACACAGTCCTTTGATGTTTTTGGAAGACACATAGACAGAGTCCCCTGGTTGGACGTCCCAGCAGTCAGACCGTTTTTTATCAGCCTGAACCTTGTAGGCTCATTTTGCAGCATCCAAAGTCTTACATAACACTGGCCAGGCATTTTTCAGGCACTGGCACCATTCTCCCACTTCCCCCTCTGGGAGTGGATCGTCAGACAGGAACGGGAGAGGCGGGGCCTCATAACCATAAACCGCCATGAAAGGAGACACCCCAGTGGATGAATGACAGGCATTATTATAACAAAACTCAGCCAGGGGAAGGAGCCCCTCCCAATCGTCCTGTTGGAAGTTAGTGAAACATCGGAGGTATTGTTCAAGGGTTTGACTGACACGTTCCGTTTGCCCATCAGTCTCAGGGGGGGTAAGCGCTACTGAGCCCACGTTCCACCCCCAACAGTTTCATGAGTTCACCCCAAAACTTAGAAACAAACTGCGTGCCACGGTCAGAGATTATTTTCTGCGGCAAAGTATGGAGGCGGAAGAGGTGTTGAAGGAACGCCTTAGCCAGGAGGCAGGCCTTTGGTAGCAACTTAAACGGGATAAAATGAGCCTTTCGAAAACAGATCCACCACCACTCAGATTACAGTTTTCCCCTTGCTAGTGGGTAAATCCGTGATGAAGTCCATAGAAAGACTTCCCATGGTCTCCCCGGGGTGGGAAGAGGTTGCAATAGTCCCAGAGGCTTCCCCAGGCGAGGTTTGCACATGATGCAGGTTTGGCACGACTGAACAAATAAGGAGAGATCCTTCCCCATTCCAGGCCACCAGAATTGCCGTTGTAGCGTGCAATGATTTGACAAATCCCAAATGTCCCACTAGTTTCGTTCCATGGACGGTGGCCATAATTTCACCCCTTAACGCCAAAGGAACGAACAGTTTGTGGCCACGATACCAACAACCGTTGGCACATTCCTCAACATCCCCCACCTTCCCTAATTCAGCGCAGTCAGCATCAGAAAGGGTGGAGGCAAACTTTATTTCCCAACTGGAGTCAGTCACAGGGGTTTTTTGGGCTTTCGCTTGCCCACGCGTCAGAACCGCCCGTCCCAATTGCAAAGGCATGAACATGGAGTTGAGCACGCAGTCCCGTTGGCTGTTGTGTTGTGGGAGGCGGGACAGTGCATCGGCCAAAGAGTTAGATTTCCCCGGAAAATGGTGTAAGGGGAAATTGAACTTGGAAAAGAAATCAGCCCATCGGAGCTGTTTAGCATTCAGATTAGATTTTGAGGTGTGCGCATCACCTCCAAGTTTTTATGGTCAGTCCACACTTCAAATGGGACTCTCGCGCCTTCCAACCAGTGTCTCCAGGTCGAGAGCGCTAATTTGATAGCGCCCGCCTCCTTGTCCCAAACCGACCAATTACACTCAGTGTCGTTAAATTTCCGGGAGACATAGGCAAGGGGATGGAGTTTTCCATCCTCCCCTTCTTGCAAAATGGTGCCACCCATAGCAACATCCGAGGCGTCAACTTGCACAATGAACTTTTTCAGTTTGTTTGGGTAAGCCAGCATGGGCTCTGAGGTGAAGAGAGCTTTGAGACAATCAAACGCCACTTCGCATTCATTAGTCCAGTTCATCTTAGCCCCAGGACAAGTGCACTCCGGGCCCTTCCCCTTGGTCCTTAATAAATCCGTGAGCGGTAGGCTCACCTGAGCAAAGTTCGCAAGAAAGGACAGGTAAAAATTTGCAAACCTGAAAAATGCTTGTAATTGCCTCTGGGTTCGAGGGGGTTCCCACCCCACCAAATCCCGAACCTTGGCTGGATCCATTTCCAAGCCCCTAGGGGAAATGTGGTATCCCAGGAAGTCTATCTCAGAGCAATGAAACTCACACTTGGATACTTTGGCAAACAGTTTGTGCTTGTGTAACGTTTGGAGGATCTCCCACACTAGCTTGATGTGGGAAGGTTTATCATGGGAATAAATCAGCATATCATCAAGGTAAACAATCACTCCCTTGAACAGGTGCTTGTGCAACCAGGGCCAGCTCGCCCGCTAGGCGAACTAGGCCGCCGCCTAGAGCGCGAGCCAGCCGTTGGGGCGTGGGAGGAGAGGCAGGGGCGGCCACCGGCAGCCTCTCCTCACCCGCAGCCCGGCCTGTGGCGAGGCAGGCAGGCAGACAGGCAAGAAGCCTCCTGGCCGGCACATCTCCTCCTCCTCCGCAGGTAGCCGTGGGAGGGGAGGCGGCGGGGCGCGGCAGCGGGGGGAGGCGGCAGCAGCCTGCCTGCTGCGTCTGGAGGAAGAGGAGGAACCTCCTCCTCTTTGAAGAGTGCCTCTTCCGCCCTTCTGGAGGCTCAGGGGCGCCTGGCAGAGCCGGGAGGAGTCCGGGGAAGCATTTGCGGGGGAAACCGCGGGTGGCGCGAGGGGGGCGTGGTGCGCAGGACCCGTGGCTCTTTAAAGAGCGCCTCTTCCGCCCTTCTGGAGTCTCGCCCGGCAGAGCTGGGAGGAGTCCGGCTCCGGGGAAGCTTTTGTGGGAGAACCCGCACTGCTGCGCGGGGGCCTTGGCTCTTTAAAGAGGGGGGGAGGCAGTGGCGGCGGGGGAGGTGGCAGCGGCGGCCCGCTGCGCCCGGAGGAGGAACGGCCACCGCCACTTCCTCCTCCTCCTCTTTAAAGAGTGCCTCTTCTGTCCTTCTGGAGGCTCAGGGGCGCCCGGCAGAGCCGAAACCGCGGGCAGCGCGAGGGGGCATGGCGT